GTATAATTTGTGTGCAGATTGCCATATTGCACACTAATGATGTATATTCCTAAAATGATTAACTTTGCATTAAGTTTTGGTTATAGGAGAAAACCCTTTATAGGCATATGCTCAGACTTCATGAATTTTTTTTATCATGTTTTATGGTAATTGGTTTATAATTGAGGCACACAGGAGTAATATTTATTTTTTTGAAAACATCTGGGTGGCTTAGAGACTATATATCTGAATAACAGACTTTTTACTTTTTATCCAACTTTCTGTAACCCAAATGTGCCCTTCTTTAATACTCGAGCTTCTCTCAAATGTGGATTATTTTTGCATCAAATAGTACTGAGAACCTCAATATAGGAGGATGCTTAATAGTTTGAAGCACAAATTTACTTTACCGCTTAAGAAAAGAATGGTCGTAGACATAGATATCTGAATCCTAGTACTGCTTCAAAAATGTTATGTAAAAGCATATCAATCACCTAAATAAGAATCCTATTGTTGGGCCTAGAAATCTTGAAATAATAAACCCTAGAAGTGACAGAGAAAAAGGAATATAAGGCCACCAGATAGGAAGAGAAATGTGTGATTTTGATGGCCTGTGTTTTCTATCTGAATTGTAAGAATTTGATGGGATTTGCAATTAGGAAATTAATGTAAAAGATAAATTGGGTTGAGGAAAAACATAACAAAACTATTCAACTATTTTATAAGCATGCTGCAAAGACAGAACATAAAAAGACCCATTCTGCTGGCCCTGAATGCCTAAACAGTCCATACTCAGACATCCCTCTCAAACACACACACTACTGGCGACAGCTTCTAGGACTCTGCACCTCAGAGGAGTCATGACTTAATGAAAAGCCAAGGTATGAATGAATAGATTTGTAATTCTCTTGCCTGCATGGTGGCTGTCTTATCCTGTCCCAAAGAATTATTTTAGATCCACTTAAGCCAGGTACATAGATAGCTGGTAAAGACTTTGACTATCTCTTTGAAGTGACAGATTAAGATAGACTTTATTATCACATTTCCAAACTCTGAAGGGAAGATTCTGATGCAATGTACTTTTTTAACACATTGACTGCCACACTGGAAAATAAATTTTTTTCCTTGGGGCCACAGTGTTTTATTATGAAAATAGGATAAAAACTTCAAAAATAAAATGATCCTTTCTAATGTAACAAAAAATTTGTTATTTTTTATTGTTTTCTGTGCATGAGTTATATGCAACTTGAAAAATAGTTCTCACGGCTCCCAAGGTGAAGAGAGGTGAGTTACATATGCTTCGTGAGGTCCCCGGGCTCAAAACTAGCATGAGTTGAATACAACTCATATGGCAGCTAATGTGTTAAAAATGCTTTTTACTTTAATGAAAATATTTGGTTAAAAAGGCAAAATACCTTCACTTTTTTG